TTCTTGCCTATTATCGGATGTTCCCCATTTTTACTCTACGGGAGGCTAGTGCTGTATCATGATAGATTCAAGGGTCCTTGCACGTCACAACGAACGTTCCATTTATTTCAAGGAGGCCATCGTCATCCCGCTCAATGGCTCACTCACTCCACTTTTCCAAGAATATATCATATGCTATCAAGTCTTACTAGAGTCTCGACTCTCTTGGGATGCGCATACCACTTGGAATCTCTGGAATGCTCTAGATCGTACTACGAAGTGCTAGTAGGTTTTCGGTGAAGCTAAGTACTCTAAATCTAAGTTGAATATCGAACTAGTTTATTTGATACTATTTGGTGCTGCAAACGCGCTGAGTGTCGGAGTTTTGTATACTACTTACCATACGAATTCCGAATGACTTGAATGTGAATTCATTGGAAATATCATAGCTTCTGCCACGAATGAGAGACTCGGAGCCGAGATTGCAGCTCGGTCAAAGCGTCTGATACGATGGATCTGATCAGTCTTTACGAGCGCGTTCTACCTCCCTAAAATTGTTGGGGGAGTTTGTATCACTGTGAAGGCATGAATCGTTCCTTCGGGACCTACTCGCGCTCAGAGTACTTAGTCCTTGTCAATGTTCCTGGCCTATCCAATGTAGGCCGACAAAATTGTTATGCTCCAAAGTCGAAAGGAATTGGACAGATATAAATGCATTGCGGAGTGAATCTGAAGACTATTGCAGCCTGCACTACCTTAGGGAACCTTGAATCGTAGCTTCCATAGCCGAAAAAGGAAGTCGTCATGCCAGTGCTTAGCGCTGCTTGTTCCTGTTTTGGGTCTCGGCATGAGGCGAGCGCTAAGCACTCTTTCGTTTACTTGCTCGTCGTCGTTCTCGTTCTCCGCCATTTGTCGCTGTGGTCGACTCAGAGGTCCATTGATGTCTTTTTCCTGAGCTTCACTTTCTTTTAAAACTGTTCTATTTCGAATTGGGGGTGGTTTCATTCCAAACTTCCAATGACAACCCGGCCCAGGAACACCCAACGTCCTCTATCTGCCGTATACTTGGGAAGTGATCCATTGCACCTAGGCTCTACACCACCGGGGATCCCTGATCTTCCTGAGCCTCCGAGCCCAGTAAGCTCTACAGGCTCCGGATTACCCTCACCTCCGGCAACAAATTCCACAGGCAGCGGGAGCACAGGCGACCCAGCAAGCATCGCAGTTCGGGGAACGAGGTCGATGGCGATGTTAAATGCTTCAAATATTAAAGCTTTTCACGCTGCCTTTTCGCACGAACATCCGGAAGACGACGACGACGATTACAACGACCATGACTATGACCATGGAAACGAAAATGACCAAGAACATACTGCCAAACTCAACCGCGCTACTAGCGAAAATGCGCTAGCTATACAGAGAGCTATGACTCTCAAAGAGAGGACAAGGATGACTATCGATAAATTGACATCCTACTCTCGCAATACTCCTTCTCCTAGGCATTCACTCCCAGATCAAACTCATTCCGGCTCAGAGACAGAGCGAGAGGCACTAGACCGTCCTGTGACCCCCAGAATCACCCGTTCTCGACTCATCTCTGCACCTGCATCCCCAGCAAAAGCCCTGCTCGGTATAAAACAATCCAATTCCGCTTCCTCCAACTCCTCCGACTCTCCGTCCCGCACTCGTAAACGTGCTTCCATGGCCATGTCCGATTTAGCAGAACTCACATCTGGGAGAAGAATACGTTCGCCAGACGTATACGAGACTCCCCAGACATCCAGACGGATTCCCGATGTCGCCCAGGCCGCTCTAGCAGCAGTGGCTTCCTCCCGAGGCCGCATGAGCCCCACTGGCACCAGGAAGAGACAACCACTCCCGAGGGAGTTTTTTGATGCTAGTTCAGCATCAGGCTCAGGCTCAAGGAGAGGCAGTGTGTCTACAAAGGGAACAGACTATGATGATTATGCCAACGGTCGGGTACGTCTGTTTTTCCCCCTTTGTTACAACTTCTTTGTTTTAATGATTATTTTAGGGTTCTACTGAACCAACAACACTCCCTCGACCGTCATCCACCATGAAACATCTCCAGCTCTCTCCCCGCCAGCAGAAAAATCTCAACAGCACCCTTACCCATTCGTCACACTCTGACATTCGTTCCTCCACTCTTCGGAGACATCATCAAACTGGAGGACAATGGGTATCCGAGGATATGTCCTCTGTAGCTTCTTCCCGCCGAACAGGAGAGGCGGACGGTGATTACGAGGAACTGCCGAATTCCAGAGGACGCAAGCCGACTTTGCGTACCGGAGGTAGTGCGGAAAGCGCTCTCACTGTAGGTGCTGGGAGAAGCCTAGTCGGCGAAGGTCTCAAAGCCGCTGGTCTCCGAAACGGAGGGACTCTTGGCCGCAGAAGCGATATTTTTGACGAAAATACACCTTTGCGGGAAAAGGCGGCTCGAGATAGAGAGCGCGCGCAGAGGATTGAGAGGATAGAAAGGAGTATCAGTAGGACGGGGAGCCGGAGTCGAAGTAGAGTTGGGTGGGAGGATGATGCTGATGATGATGATGATGGCGAAGATGAAGAGCGTTTTTCTAGCACTCATTCTCGATCCCGTGCAAATGGGTCGGATGTCCGTACCCGCGCTGGAACATTTGTAGGACCCCGTGCATCCACCTCCATGGCAATATTTGACCGTGAACGAGAGGGTGTGGGCGGTGAACCAGAGCCTCGAACTGCACCTCCTCATCTCAGAACATATAAGAGCACATACGATCTGCCACTTAGCCGGGATGCTCTTTCTCGTAGGGAAATCGATCTCGACTTGGAGGCTGAGAGGGAGCGTGAACGAGCTCCGTCATCTCTCAGCCGATACGCTACAGTCTCTAGTCCCTTTGGCAGTCGTCGGTTCGCTTCAAACTCCACTTCGAATCCCGGCGAATCCTTATCCCATCATCATATCCCTGACCGCTCAGATCATAACCAGCTCCTTCACGATAGTCTCCGCATGTTTGAAACCCACGTTGCACGCGTACCATCGACATCGAGCGCAACCACCAGCGACTTATTACGGAACGCTCAGAGTATAGCTAGTACTGCGGAGAAGCTCAATCTCATGACCCGTATATCCATGTCTAAAGCATTGGAAGCTCAGATTAATGCGGAAGTGGATGGTGGGACTGGGAAGTCGGCAGTGGATGTCTGGAGGTCGATTGGGGCAGATTATCGGGATCAGATGAGGGTTAGCGATGAGCTGGTGCGAAGCGTGACGGACTTTCTTTTGGGTGTTGGTCGTGCGGTGAAGGATATGACTGGAGGAGACGGGCATGCTAGAAGTGTGAGTTTGGATGAACTAGGTGGTAGAATGGCGAGGAGCAACTTGGGTTCCGATGGAGGTAGTACCGGCAGCGGGAGAAAAAGTGCAGAATCTCGGAAGAGTTGGGGGGATGATGTTAAGAGGTTGTCTACGGGGCCGAACAGATCAGAGAGCGTATTAAGTGGTGGAAGACCCCCGTCGGTGCTCAATCGGGAAGCTCCGCCTACAAGGACCCGACAACCAAACGGTAACAATGGATCATCCTCTACGACACCAGGCCGAGCGTTGATGTTGTCGGGCACCCTTGATTCTCAGGAGACCATACAGGGTTACGATCCATCGCCAACACCTGCATCCCGAATGCAGTCGAATAGGAATGGGGCTACCCTTGACCGTTCTCGCACTCTTCCACCATTATCCATTCCAAAACCCCTTGCTCAACTGCCGTCCGAAACTTTGGCTCGCCGCCAAACCGCTGCGACACCTGCGTCTCGCCGTCGGCCCACTACCTCAGGCTCCACTGTCCGCGGTGGTCCGTTTCCACTCACTAGTCCCAATATGCCAACTACTGCCCTCACTCCTCATACCGTATCAAATAACGACCGTCAAGAATTTCCTTTGCTTCGCTCAGACTCTGCCTCAGGTGGTAAATCGGCTACCACAGCTCGTTCCACTGTCACATTTTCTCGATCATCCACGGTCTCAGCGCTTTCCGGACTCCAGCAACAACAACAGCTCGCAGAGCAGCAGAGACAGCGGAAGCGCACACAATCGAATTCTAGTATGAGTGGACCCGAGGCAGTGGAGCGGGTCAGTCGGGCAGATGCACCTAGGATTACAAGAACTGCTTCTGGAGGTGAGGAACGAGGTCCGACGCGTACTGTGGGAAGGCAAGGAGACCGGCCGAGGATGTCTTTGGATGGATCTGGGACGTTGAATGGGAGCGTCCATCCTGCAGATCGAAGTGCTGCAACGTCCATTCTCAACTCGACCACTTCGAAGACACGGGAACGGAGAAAGACGGTAGTGGATGTGTGGCCGAGGGGCGGCGGATCCTAGCCCGTTCCTTTTGGGTGTTGTTTTTGAACTTTCTGTGTAAGCTTTTGTCTCTATCCAGCGAGTGGTCTTGAGCTTACTTTTTGAGTTTTACAGAAATACTTGTTTTGATTTTTCTCCATGTTTATTATGCATTGGATTCAACCCGATCCATGCTATTCATCTTCTCCGCACCGCATGAACTGTTCCTTTTCCCTTTTTCGTTCCCTTGATCTCTGAGGTTGTCTCTCTCTCTCTTTGGGCTTTGCGACCTGAACGTCCTGTAAAAACTCGCTTTTCTCTCGTTCACTTTACATAACATTTTTGTTATTGTTGTTCCAGTGTCGTTTCTTCTTTGTGTCTTATACCTACTTGCCTTTTTCCTCTGCCTCTCTGTTTCAATACTCTGCCTGTGTTTTGCAACAAGGCCCCCTTCGATGCGTTGAACGTATTTATATGCCAGTCTCTATGCGTAGTACTAGTATACACTATGACTGTCCTCCCTCCCTGATTCAATAGATGGGAAAAATAATAACCACTGCTCTGAAATGTTTCCAATTAGAAGAGATTAAGATTTTAGAGACGATGAAGGCTGAAGGCTGCTGCTGCCTTAGATACTGTAGCTTTCAAAAAGAACAAAATAAATTATCAACGCTCGAGTGCATCAAAATTCCTTCTAGCCGACTTGAACGACTGACCTCGTCATTAGCATCGCTAGGCAAATAATACTAGTGACGCGCTCTACCAACTGAGCTAAGAAGGAATTATCAACGTAAGTCTCTGTTGGGTCTTTGTGTTCGTCAATAGCTTATGACATTCTCAAACATTTGCCTGTCCTTTCTTGCGGCATTGATATCGCCTCCCAACTCAGACTAATACCAATCTACAGGGATACTCGAAGGCTAATATGAATAATTTTCCCCTTTGATCACTATGCCTTCATCCATCTGCAACTCGACACTCTTGGTATTTTTGTCTTCCTCATGTTATCACTGCCCTCGTCTTCCTCCGAGGCACCCTCTATATCGTCGTTGCTATCATACAGGTGGGTACGAGGCCTTTTTCCATAACGCAACCGACCACGACCGACGGCGTTTCCTCGCGGACCTTGACCGCTGAACCCTAGATTACTAGACGCACTGGTAGAGTAGTCCCAGCAATGGCGGGGTGTCCTTGCATCGCTGCAGTCATTGAATGGTCTAGGGTTTGGATCCTCGTGAGTAGGTAAGTCTGGATATTGGCAGTGATAGTTGTATACTGGGTTTGACCAAAGATTGTCCATCCGCGCCATCGACTGAGGTAACGTGAAGATTCCACTGCTTGCTGCGTCCATGGATCAAGAGACCTAGAGTCTTACTTCTCTTGAGCGCGTAAGAAATGAAGCCACGAGAAAGCCCTATTTACCAAGGGTTTTATTCTTCTTCAGTCAGGATAGCCAAATAGGGATGACGCGAATGTCTTAGCCTCGCGGTACTTATAGACTCCAGCGAAGATCCGGACGCAAAGAGTGCGTCCATTGATGATTGTTGATAGCGTGAATCGCCCGTTCGCGTTAACGCGGTCGTGGTATAAGAAACAAATGAATTGATGGTTTCCTAATTAGGCCGATTTTCCAACCTTCTTCTGTACCATCTTGACACTTGTCGACTTTTAATGGGAAAACGAAATGCAGGCTTCAGTGGTCTGGCCCGCTTTTTTCAGCAGGTCAACAGCATACCTCCCATTGAATCCGCTGTACAAAATACCGCAAAACGATCTCTTGAACCCGAATCTGAACCTCCGAAAAAGAAGAAAAAGACCGAGGTTGTCGAAGAGAATACGGGAACCCCTCAATTCATCCAGAAATATGATTCGAAATATGACATGACTGGCCATGTCCCAAGTTTTGCATCGATGACCGAGGTACCAGCCAACTTGAAAAAATGTTAGTCAAGGTCCCAACTCGTCCACTTTCTCTCGACTTCATTCCTATTCCAGATTATGCTCAAAGAGAGCGGTTCTTTTCTCTATACTCAAAACCCCCTGGATGCTTGCTTGACGAAGAAGGATGGTATAGCGTCACTCCGGAACGAATTGCAGATCGAATCGCAGACCGATGTCGGTGTGATACTATCTTGGATGCATTCTGTGGAGTTGGAGGTAACGCGATTGCCTTTGCTAAAACTTGCCAACGAGGTTCGTGATGACTAGTGTTGAATCTGTACAACGCGTCTGAACCTCCCTTCTAGTCATTGCTTTGGATATATCACCAACTCGACTTGCCCTAGCAAGACATAATGCCCAAATATATGGTGTTGCGCAGCATATCGAGTTCATACTCGCCGACTACATCTCCTTCGCTCAAACATATCTATCGTCCCCCACACATCAGCCTCTCGGAAAATCGATGTCGTATTCCTCAGCCCTCCGTGGGGAGGCCCTTCGTACTTGTCGGGTTCAGGGTCGCCTACAGATGCAAACCCACCCCCTGCGGAAGAAGAGGAAGACCCGGCACATGCCCTTTTTCATCTTTCAGCTATTCAACCTATCCATGGTGCTGACCTCTTCGAGCTTTCTAGACGCATCACACCCAATGTTGCATATTACCTCCCACGGAACACGGATCTGAATGAGGTATCCGGTCTGCTTGGAAATGAGTCTTCAGGAGAGGATGTGGAAGAGTACATTGAGGTTGAGGAGGAATGGATGGGGACAAAGCTCAAGGCTTTGACTTGCTATTTTGGTGGACTGGTAGACGGTCAACCGGGGCTATTTTGAACATTTTTTCTTGGATTTGACTATGAGTCTATTCCGTCCAGTGGAAAAAGAACATGATTATTATGAGCGATACTATATGTGTGTTCTGAGAGTGTAGCAAGCCTGCGCGCAAGAATACATCTACGGATGGTAATCGTATGCAAATCGTATGTTTCCAATGCGTCGGATGAGCCCATGAGGTAGTCTATTTCTTTGGCAGATAAAGTAATTGGAAAGTTACTGCAGGAACTACCGCCCAGGTCATGGAAAACGTCGACGGCGTGGCCGACATGATGAGGCATATTATAATCGTATGCGACTCGGATGCCTATGATAGAACCGGGGTCCCGCCAAGGTCGTTTCTATTTGGGAAGGAAATGGGAGGTTCTGCAGGTAAAAATCATGAGCATTTTCATCGAGGGGAGACCCTAAGGCGGATGATACGGAATCAGCGGAATCTGTAATACTCAAATGGAGAAAGCGGTTTTTTGTGCACCATTAGGCTCGAGGGCTTGCACTGAGGGAGAAAGCAGAGTGACTGGAGCACCACTGCTATCCAAGTTCATCCCCTTGCTTTCCTTCTTTCAGCATATCCGCAAGCTGCTCGCACCAGGCGAGATTGTTCGTCCCTTTCCTTTTGACATTCCTCTTCACCGGGTTCGAGGGATGAGTCCCGGGTGCGAACTTGTAACCAGGATAGCGCTGTAAGTGCTCAAGCTTCTCAGCCTCGGCTTTGATTCGATAAGGTGCTCTCTCCTCATCGGAAAGCTGTTCAAGATACGACATAACTGTGGTCGTGTTCAACGTCGGTATTATTATTATTATTTTTGAGCATGGAATTCAGAACGGAAAATCATGAAAAGAGTTTGATCTCGGAATATGCGTCATGGTGTCCAGGGAGCCTTTCCTGGGTACCAGTCCAAATCTGGAAGACTTTGGGGCATATTCCAGCGATGGAGAAAAGAGGAATGAAGACTGAGCAAAATTATTGGGGTCCGGATCCGTACTTTTAGCTCTTTCCATGCCGACTCTGCCTATAAGCCACGAGCATAAAGCTAGAACAAAGGTATCAGCGGCATAAATGCGAGAAGTTAACAACCTCTGAAAAAGGTAAGACGGAGTGGAAAGGAAGTAAACGTCGGACTCGAAGCATATGTCTTTACATTCTTCAAGTCAAGCATGACAGGTTAGCTTGTTAGTTGTGCATGGAATGCGCCTTTTTATAATCACAACTCCATTTTTGGCATAAGATCCCTCAAGATGTGATTATAACGAGGGTGAGAGTTCCGGCACGATGCGAGATATCTGAATGCCGGGCCCGGGTGAATTCGAAGGTACCATTGAGTTCTTGACTGAAGTGACTGAACCTGCCTAGATATTTTTGCTATTCATGGATCATTTGAGGCTTGTGAACCTTTGTGAGCCTTCCGCAGCCAAAAAAAAAGGGTAGAGAGACAGCAAACAGATGCAGGATCTCACATATAGCGGGCCTTGCTCAGCTGCAAGTTGACCTTCGCAAGTTTAGCCCTAGCCCCAGCCTAGCCCAGGCCTGCCTCGTCATTTGCGAGTCGTTTGTTTGGCGATCGTTATATGGTGATGCAATGGTTGCCGTTATGACTGGTTATAGTAATATCAAGCTTGCGCAGCTTGTTTGCAGTGACTTCTCCGTGGACGGCCGTCTTGGAGTCAATGAACTAATTTCTTTCTTTTTCTTCAACCATCATCCTCACAAGTTCTAGTTCGAGGAAGAGTTTCTCTGCAAGATGAATATGACGTTTAGATACGTTCTGACCCTCTTTGGCGCCGTGGTCCGTATCTCCGTTTTTGATAATGCTTTTACCGAAGATTTTTGTCATTGCAGATAACCATCCACTATATTTTGTCTTTCACACATACTGAATATGGACGAGCCACTTCAATAGGGTCTCTCACTTCGCATTTTCGAGGAGCATCCAAAACCACACCAACGATCCCTGACCGATACTACCCTGTTTTCTGTGAGTCCGCAGTGCTCCTGAAGCGCTTTCGTTCTTCTCAAGTCGCTGCTTTTTGCTAGCAAATGAGACCTTCGCCGTTGATCGCAGGGCAAATGCTACGTTTGTGGTCCTCGCACGAAACAGTGATATAGATGGAACGATACGGAGCGTTCGAGAAATAGAAGACAGATTTAATAGGCGGTTCAGGTATCCCTACGTCTTTCTCAACGAAGAGGAGTTTTCAGAGGATTTCATAAAGTGTGTTTTTACTTGCTTCCTGATATATGTTGCTTATATCCTATTCTTTCAGACGTATTTCCGTACTGTCCTCTGCAAAGATGGAATTTGGGCGTATATCAAGAGAGCATTGGTATCAGCCTGATTCGGTCGACGAGGAAAAGGCAGAAGCCGGCAGAAATCGTTTGGTTCAAGAGGGTGTCATTTATGGTGGAAGTGTCAGCTATAGGTTAGATTGTTTTATTACTGGCTTGGAACCAAGTGCTGATACGCCGAAGAAATATGTGCCGCTATAATAGCGGGGTGAATTATGTCTTCGTGTCCTTTCCTTGCTTTCCATATTTACATTGAGACGCAGTTCTTCTTCCGCCACCCGTTAATGCAAAAATACAGGTGGTATTGGCGGATAGAGTGCGTGCTGTGTCTTCCATTTGGATGCGGGATTCTCACGTATTATCTAGACCGGACGTTCACTTCCATTGCGATATTCGATTCGATCCCTTCCTTTACATGGAGGAAAACAATAAGGTCTATGTAAGTCCTTCTTTGGCGTTTCTGCAAAAAAGTATTTATTACGCTATAATCAAGGCCTTCACCATTGCGTTATATGAGTTTGAGAAAACGATTCCGAGTCTTTGGGGTCATGTTAAAGGTTGTTCCAAACTATGCTCTCATGTACATTTTCACAAACCTATGGACGACTCCAGATTTCATCAAATTACATCCAGAATACCTTGCCAAAGATAACGCAATGGGATTCCTGTCCGAGACTGGAGGAGATACCTACAACCTTTGCCACTGTGAGGAGGTTCGT